TTTTCCTACTTGTACCCACCTGTTTCCTAGTGCATTCATTCCTCGTTCTTTCACAGTACATTCCCTTATTCGGATTCATTCCCAACCGTGCGGCGCGTACAGTTACGAATCTGTCCCCGCCAAATCCCTCTTCTCTGCAGCTGCCCGATGCCGTCTGATCCGACGGTCCAGATCCTCTCTAACCGTCTGCGTCGCTTTGGGTCAACTCTGACCCCTCGCATTCATTCTCGATACTGCGTGCTTCACTTAGCTGCGGTCAGGAATGCACGATGATATTTTACTATTCGTAACACCCCCCTTCACTCCTGGCCGTAGCTCGTCTTGACCTGCTTGACCACTCCACTGAGCTCGGAGCAGTGTTGGTACTGCTAGCGTGGCAGTCGCTTCGTCAGTAAGTCAGCTGCCATGTCACATGTTGGGCAGTACGTCAAGTTGAACTTGCCCTTGTCCACTTCGTCCTTGACGAAGAAATACCGCAGCGCAATGTGTTTGGTGCGGTTGACGAAACCAGGTTTGTTCGCGGTGCAGATCACGCTCTGGTTGTCGCAGTGCAGGCGGAAGGTAGGCGAAACTGGGATTTTCGCCTCCTGCAGGAGTTCTTGTAAGTAGAGGCCTTCGCGAATTGCTGCTGTTGCTGCGATGAATTCCGCTTCCGCCGATGATAGGGCAACCAGCTCCTGTTTCTGCGAATTCCATGCGATTGGTCCCGTCGGCTCGAGGCGGAACAGGAAGCGAGTCTTGGACTGTCGATTGTCTGGATCTGCTGCGTAAGCAGCGTCCACGTAGCCGATGAGGTTGAAAGATGGGGTTGGTACTGTCGAGTAGCAGAGCCCAATCTTGGGCGTTGAGACGAAGAACTGTAGAGCGCGCTGCAGATCCAGAAGGTTCTCAGCCGTTGGTTTGCGAGAGTACTGAGCCAGTTGGCTCGCAATGTAGGAAAGGTCGGGCCTGCAGGTGACAGAGGCAAAGAGCAGGCATCCTAGCTGCTGCTGATAAGTCTGAATGCCAGCGGGGGATAGGGCTTTGTTATCAGGTTTGTGGTTCGGTCCGGGAGTGCGGTAAGGGGTGGAAAGCGGTATAGGGGAAATGTCGCTCCTGCTGCTGATAAGTCTGAATGCCAGCGGGGGGTAGGGCTTTGTTATCAGGTTTGTGGTTCGGTTCCCAAGCTCCTCTGCATTCTTAGCCGCTGAGAGGTGGATAGCTGTCGGCTTGTAGGAGATATTAAGTCCTAAGAACAGCTTCACTTCGTAGCCTGCAGGTGATGTCGAAACGCCCTGCCAGATTCTTCTCGAACTGCTCGAGCAGTTCGTTGCTTGACCCTGTGTACAGCAAATCATCGACGTAGACGGTGAGCAGAATGTAATCTCCGTGGAAATCGCGGCGGTACATTCTTGGGTCGTGGGGCATCTGCCTGAAGCTGATTTCGAGCAGAATGTTGTGCAGATACTGCTGTCAGAGCCTTGGTGCTTGTTTTATCCCGTAAAGCGATTTGCGCAGTTGGCACACTCGCGAGTCCCCTTCTCCGTAAGTATGCGGCTGCTCCACGTAGATCACTGCATCTACTAACGCGTATAGGAACGCATTTTTCAAGTCGATTTGTCGGAGCAGCAGATGTCGTGCGGCGGCGATGGCGAGGAGAATTCTGACGGAGGTGTGACGGCTTACGGGCGCGAATGTTTGATCGAAGTCAATCCCGTGCCTTTGATCGTAGCCACGCACGACCCACATCGCCTTGAAGCGCTCGATCGTGCCGTCCGCTGCGGTCTTCACGCGGAAGACCCATTTGCCGGAGAGGATCTTTGCACACTTGATTGCGGCGTGGTCAACGAGCACCCAGGTATCTCGGGACTCGAGGGCCTTGATCTCGGCATTTATTGCTTCGCGCCACTCCTTGATATGCGGTCCTGAGAGAGCTTGGCGCGGATTCCTTTGTTTGATGACACGCGGCGCCATTGAGGTGGCGGCATGAAGCCCGAGGAGTTGCACCGGTGACGGTGTTGTCGTGGTGATGCTGCGGGACGACCTCCTGTACGTCGTCGTCATCGCTCTCCGGCTCAGGTAGGGCTGGTGGTGTTGCGCCTCCGCTGCTTCCGCTTCCTCCAGTTGCGCCTCCTGCTGCGCCCGCTCCTCCTCCTTCGGATGAGTCATCGTCATCGTCGTCGTCGCGACGATCGCCTCTCGTGAATTCGCCTCTGGGGTCAGAATGGCCGCAGCAGCTTTGTCGTCTGGCGTGGCGAAGCTGTGCCCGTCATTGGCGTAAACGCGGTTCGCGTTCGTCTGCTCGTCTTGCGAAACTGCTGAAGGAACAAACGCTCGTAGAAGATAACATCGCGCGCGTTTTTAATCTTCTGGCTCAAGAGATCTAGGATGAGCCATGCCTTGTACTCGTGGCTGATGCCGAGTTGGATCCCCCAGCGCGCGTGGCTCCTGAATTCGCCAATGGTTGATGTTGGCGGGCGGTACTGAACCATGCACCCCCACACACGGAGCATGGAAGTGACGCCCTTGGTCCCTGTCCACTTTACATGCGGGGAGAGGTTGCCGGTGATCGCGGTGGTCAACAGCAGATTGTGTACCCGCACGGCGTGGTGTATCGCGTACGTCCAGTAAATTGGCGGAAGCTTCGACTGCTTCATTAGTGCGCGCACCTTCGTCATGAGCGTGCGGTTGGTACGCTCGGCTACGCCCTGCTGCTGATGTGCGTAGGGGAGAGAGATGTGGTGTTTGATCCCCTTCTGCGCCAGATAATCCTGCATTTCCTTGCTCCTGAATTCTGATGCGCCGTCAGATTGCCAGATCTTCAGCTTCTCCCCAGATTGCCGCTGCGCGTGCGCCAGCCAGAGACGGAAAAATTCGTATGCTCTGCTGCGCGCTTCCACGTTCACGACCCACACATCGCATGTTCCAGCATCGATGAATGTGAGCGTGTACAGCTCGTCGTTGACTCCGCAGTGCCCCAAGTTCGGGAATTCACTGTACACCTTATGTAGCTTGGGGTAGCGATTCGTCTCTGGCTCGAGCAGCGAGAATGGCTGGTGGCTTAGCGCGGCTTCGGGGCAGACGGTGCAGTTGCGCAGATGTGTCGCGCCTCTCACTTCGGTGCCATCTGGGCACAGGAGTGCGCCAGGAGCGGAAACTCCCGCGCCAATGCAATTTTTCAGCGTCGCGCGTGAAGGGTGCCCGAGGCGCTGATGCCAAAGTGCATCGTCAGCGCGAAAACCGGAGGTGCGCATTTAGTGCGCACAAGCTTCTTCGGGGTCTTCGTCGGGTACAAGGGTAGGTTCTGCTGCTGCTTCTTCTGCTGCTTCATCGTCTTTGTTGTTGGCAGTAGTTAGCATTAGCGCCAAGAACTCTCTGTCGCGGATTACGGAGAGAGAGATGTTGGTCCCAGGGATGATTCCGGGGACGAAGGTGGGTTCACGCGGTTCGGAAGCAGGTCCGTAAATGGTGCGACGTGGGGTTGATGGCTCATTTCCCCAGTCAATGGTGTCCCAGGGATCGCGATGCGGTGGAATATCGGGGGGAGGTAACGTGGGTGGAGCATGACGCGGGGGGCGACCAAGGGGAACAACTGCAGGTGTTGCCTCAGCTGCTTCTCCCCCTTTTGTTCGTCACGGGAAGCTCCCCAGCCGCTGCCTTCGTCGTCAGTTGCAACGCCCCAGCCACCACTTGCGGTTGCCCACGTACCGCCGGTGTTGCCCCATCCGCCGGTTTCACTCGTTCCCCATCCGCCAGCGCTTCCCCACCCCCCTTCATTGGAGGCGCTCTCCTCCTCGTCGGCCCCCCATGCGCCACAAGCGAATGTCTTGTGCGCTTCGGCGAGACTTTGTCGGTGAAGCTCCTCGGCTTCGCGAGGTGCCAATTCTTCTTCCTGTTCGACGGTGAGCTTCTTCGTGGAGTGGCGCCGATGAGAGTAAATCTCTAGAAACTTCTCTCGTGTGTAAGGGCGCGGCTCGCTGTGCACATTGAAGGTTCCAACTCCAGTGCCGCGTAGCATGCCCTGGAGATGCTGTGAGGGAGGTCCGATGAGAGGATGTTTTGGCGTGCCGAACACGCCGCGCGTGGTGATTTCAAGCTCCAGCTGCGACATCCCTTCTTCTGGTGGTGCATATCGTTCTGCTTCGGCGATGGTGGCAAGCCCACGACCAGCAATCGCGCTAGTTGACGCGGTAGGTGTGTGGCAATCCCTGCAGATGCCGTCTGGGTCAAGATCACCACCTCGCGTGGGTGGGGGTGATGCGGCACCCACGGTCTTCCGTTAGGGTGTTTCCAGTCCCTGCGGTGGATATGTTCGAAGCGCAGTGGAACGAGGTCGATTAACTCGTTCGAGTCGTCGCTGCAGTCGGGATGTCGAAATCCAAGATGTACACTCCGTTTTTGGAGTGTGCTCTTCCGATCTGCCTACAGGAAAAGGTCTTCAATTCGTAGTGCAGCAAGATGTTGCGTGTTTCGCGGTCCGTGCTGAGGTCAACACCGCAATCCATGAGTTGGGCGGCGGAAAGCAGGTTGAAGTGCAGGTTCTGGACAATGAGTACATCGTTGAGTGTGATGTGCGTGCGACTTCCTCGTGCCTTGAGCACGACGATCCCTTACGCGCTTGCGCGCTGGCGTGTATTGTTGGCCACGGTAGCATAGGTAACTGTGGGGGTGGGGACGGCGTTGGATATGTAACGCTCGGAGCCCACCATGTGATGGCCGCAGCAGCTGTCCAGGTACCAGGTGTTGTAGCGCTTCCTGTCGTCACGTGTGAGCAGCGCCAGTCGCGGCGTGACGATGTGACGTGTGTCAAATCAAAGAAACTGCTCGCGCGAGAGCCAATCGAGTGGCGCCACCCGCATATCAGGTACGTGCGGGGGACTATCGAGCAGCGGGACTAGGAGATTCCAGTCCTGGTCGTTGTCGTCGGTGAAGTCGTGGTGCATGCTAAACGGGTTGTTGTTGGAGAACGCGCCAATAGGATGCGGTGCTGGCTCAGGTGATGGTGAGCGCACGCGGCGCGCATGGCGTATTGGGGCATGGCGTATGGGGGCATGGCGTATGGGGGCATGGCGTATGGGGGCATGGCGTATGGGGGCATGGCCCATGGGGGCATGGCGTATGGGGGCATGGCGTATGGGGGGATGGCGTATGAGGGCATGGCGTATGGGGGCATGGCGTATGGGGGCATGGCGTATGGGGCCATGGCCTATGGGGGCATGGCCTATAGGGGCATGGCCTATAGGGGCATGGCCTATAGGGGCATGGCCTATAGGGGCATGGCCTATAGGGGCATGGCCTATGGGGCCATGGCCTATGGGGGCATGGCCTATAGGGGCATGGCCTATAGGGGCATGGCCCATGGGGGCATGGCGTATGGGGGCATGGCGTATGGGGGCATGGCGTATGGGGGCATGGCGTATGGGGGCATGGCGTATGGGGGCATGGCGTATGGGGGCATGGCGTATGGGGGCATGGCCCATGGGGGCATGGCGTATGGGGGCATGGCGTATGGGGGGATGGCGTATGAGGGCATGGCCTATAGGGGCATGGCCTATGGGGCCATGGCCTATGGGGGCATGGCCTATAGGGGCATGGCCTATAGGGGCATGGCCCATGGGGGCATGGCGTATGGGGGCATGGCGTATGGGGGCATGGCGTATGGGGGCATGGCGTATGGGGGCATGGCGTATGGGGGCATGGCGTATGGGGGCATGGCGTGGGCAGCACTGGGTGCTGGCGCTGGCTGGACGGCGAGCACGGGGAGCGCGGGGTTAGAGGCCATGAGCCGAGGGTGCACACAGGTGAGGGCAGGGGTGGGCGTGGGGTGGGGGCATGGGCGATACCTGCGACGCGGGCAGCCGGTTTGCGCAGGCTGGACCTGAGCAGGGCTGTCCTGAGCAGGGCTGTCCTGAGCAGGGCTTTCTTGAGTAAAGGCTATGAGCAGAGGGTGTGGGCAGGAGGTGCGCGCAGGTGATGAGGGGTGGCGCATGTGGCAATGAACACTCACTCACTTCATGATGTGCTGCATGATGCCCCTGTACTGACGGTGTGGCCAGGTGATTCTGTCCTTCCCGTGATCCATTTGTCCATCCTGTCCGTCCGTCCGTCCGTCCATCCGTCCGTCCGTCCGTCTGTCCCTCCCTCCCTCCCTGCCCCATGCGCAATCCATACAAATGGACTTGGCGCTGCAAGTGCATCATATTCCTCCTCCCTCCCATCCCATCCTCTGAACTTTGCACTCTACCCTTCTGTTGCTCTGCCCTTCTCCCGTCCCCCCTTTCCCTTCCGTCCCTTCCATCCTCCGTTCTTCCTCCATCCCCCCTCCCCTTCGCAGGCACACTTTGTCGAGATGGACCCGTGGGTCGTATCCTCGGTGCTCGCCCCTAACATTGAAGCCTGCTCCGCCTCCTCCCACACCACCATCCACCCGCTCAAAGTCGAGTCATTTCTCCAGCAAGCGGAGCAAAGAGGAGGTACGAGGAGGTACGGGGAGGTGCAAGGAGGTATGGGGCCACTTTTCCTCCTCATCTGAACCCTCATCAGCCCTCTGCCTCCTCTCTCTTCGTCTCAAACGGTCCGTTGTATTGATTCAGCAGGGGTACAGACATGCAGTTTCACTCAGTTCTTCTTCTCTTACTCCGTTGCGTTCTCCCTCCCTCCCTACCCCTCTCACTCCTGCTCGTCCTGCACTCGTTCAACCCTGTATGGCCTCCCGCGCGCCGCCTCCTTCATTTTCCCTGCACTTGGTCAACCCTGCACTTGGTCAACCCTGCACTTGGTCAACCCTGCACTTGGTCAACCCTGCACTTGGTCAACCCTGCACTTGGTCAACCCTGCACTTGGTCAACCCTGCACTTGTTCGTTCTGCCCTCGCAGCTGAGTGGGTAGGAGGCCCCTGCAGTGAAGCTGCAGCTTCACTGCCGTGGCCCGTGCATGCACTCGTCTGGACATCTGGACATTAGAGCGTTGGGGCCACGTGCTTTCAACGAGGCAGCCCACCGACACGGAACTGGACTCCCAATGTACAGCCGTGCGGCATTTCCACATGGCTGGTGTTTAGAAGTGTTTTCCGAAGCACTGTGCAACTGTAATGACGCAGTTGTGAGTTTCGTAAACACCAGGGCGTGTGGCAAAACCATTTGGGGCATAGGAAAACTAAAAGCCCTGAAGTCGCGGGTGTTTGTGTTGGTAGGAAATTTGGCACGGCATACCCCAAGCGCGCGAGGGTTGTCGATTCAGTAAGGAATAGCTTCAAGGGTGCGCCCCCCGGCTTGTTCAAAGCCGAACAGGTCGCAGACGTTTTTTCACGCGCGATTTTCATTGGTGCGCGAGTGCAGATGTACAGTTGGTGGGTCAGTCAGTATCAGCGACGATGAGAACTGCGATCGGCACGTGTTGCCGACGGCACTTTTACACGTCATTAGAACGGATGGTGTCCCAGCCATCCCCAGGAACGGATGGTGTCCCAGCCGAGTGGGAGGGAAAGGCCCTTCACCTTCATCATTGTGACCTCCACCCTCTTCCCCCCCTATGAGCTTCATCTCATCTCATCTCATCTCATCTCATCTCATCTCATCGCAACAGCGCTCCTGCTTCAACCCTGCATGTGCCCTCCGCCCTCTGCCCTCCTGCTTTGCACTCTTCTTGTCACCCTCGCAGCCGAGTGGGTAGTTAGGGGGTCCCTTCAGCTTCATCAGTGTGACCCCTCCCTATGAGCGCGCCGTGCACAGCCAACTCATGGCCCAACTTGCTGCCTTCCCGTCCTGTCCTTCACCACTCCCTCCCTGCTCCCCTCTCTCTCCCTCCCCCAGCTGAGTGGGTGGGAGGGCCTTTCAGCTTCATCAGTGTGACTCCCCCCTATGAGCTCGTCGTGTACAGTCAACTCATGGCCCAGCTTGCTGCCTCGCCGCTGCTGCACCCAGAAACATGCATGGTGCGTGCGTGCATTCATGGTGCATTCATGGTGTGTGGGTGCGGAGGGGGGAGGGGGGGAGGGGGAAGTTATCATGGATGCATGTCTGTACAGTCAACTCATGACCCAGCTTGCTCCCTCACCACTGCTGCACCCAGAAACATGCATGGTGTGGCTGGTGTATTTTATGGAAACATGCAATCAGCTGGCTCCAAGTCGACCCAAAATTCAGCTAACTCCATGTCTTCCTCACACTCCATGTCTTCCTCACACTCCATGTCTTCCTCACACTCCATGTCTTCCTCACACTCCATGTCTTCCTCACACTCCATGTCTTCCTCACACTCCATGTCTTCCTCACACTCCATGTCTTCCTCACACTGCCCATTGTATCGCATGCATCCTGCCAGGTCGTGGAGTATCCAAACAAATCTAAGGATGAGATCTTGGACACATGCGGTCCTCTATATAAGGTGATTTTATAGTTTCTGTTGCGTAGCGCATCTTTTTTCTTAATCCTTCCCATCATCTATGCCTGTGTTGGCTGCCATGCGCGACACTCCACTCCTCCCTCCTGTGCTGAACATGGCGTTTCTCCCTACTTCATGCTGTTCAGATCACTTCATGCTGTTCAGATCACTTCATGCTGTTCAGATCGCTTCATGCTGTTCAGATCGCTTCATGCTGTTCAGATCGCTTCATGCTGTTCAGATCGCTTCATGCTGTTCAGATCACTTCATGCTGTTCAGATCACTTCATGCTGTTCAGATCGCTTCATGCTGTTCAGATCACTTCATGCTGTTCAGATCACTTCATGCTGTTCAGATCAATGATCAAAAGTATGGGCGAATCCGAGTGAACACCAGTTAGGTGTCATAGGGTCGATATGTGGCAGCAACTTAGGGATGAACACTCCACTCCTCCCCGCTGTCCTGTGCTGAACATGGCGCTTCTCCCCACCCCGTTCCATGCTGCGCAGATCAAGGATCGGAAGTATGGGCGGACCAACGTGGCCATCTATGGTCTTGCATGGGCCCTGGGAGACGATGTGCAATGAATGATGCCAATGGCAATGATGGCACTCAGGGGCAGGCTGAAGAATTACAGATTGATCAGGGCTCGCATGGCATGTACCACTTTACCTCAGTGACCGTCTGTACTGGGTACAGTACCGTAAGTTGTAATTGCAAGGCTGCTGTGATCATAGTTCATTCTCTGTTTACCTCGTATAGTGCCGTAAGAAATGCAGAAAAACAAAAAAGACACTGGTTTGGTGGCCCACTGTGGTAACCACATACCGTATCAGAGTTTTATAAAACTTGAATTTTTGCAGATGGACCACACCTCACCTCATAGTTCCAACATCACTACACTCTGGGCATGCAATACTAGAACAAAACTAGTTAAAGCTAAGTCGCAGCACCATGCCCTTCTTGGCACAATCCTTTCCAACCGTGCTATAGTACAAAACATCCCCAATGAGCAAGATAGACTTCTTAGCCTTGGCGGTTGCCTTAACATCCACCTTATCGACAGCCTTGGTGTTGCATGCGTCCAGTGCGGTTCTGTCTTTGGCGGTCGCCAGATTGTGCTTCTTGCGAACCACCTTGTTCCAGCAACTCTGGCCCCACTTGAAGACTGCAGACGGGTAAAACAGGCGGAGATGAGATGAGAGATCGGAAGCAGACATCTGCGATGGTTGCATTGATAGATAATAAAACATGCGGAACCTGCCAACGCAGCAGGTCGACGGCGTGCCAACAATGCAGTGCGGTTGTCCAGCGTTGCACCCGTAGATGGCAGCAGTGCGCACGCTTGCAGGTGTGCGCGGACGATTGGCCCGACTTGCATCGTTGTGCATCCGTCGGCTGTTGTCTGCGCCTGACGAGCCACATTGACTTCGGGATACCAGCCCGAAGTCACCTTCGCCATCGCAACATCGACAACGTTCGCGTGCCTCCGCAGAACTCGTCGAATAGGTTACCCGGTCGACCTGGACACCACCAAGTGCACTGGTCGACCACAGCTCCCTCTGGTCTGGTCGACCACAGCTCCCGTCGAGCTACCCCCTGGTCGACGGACCCCTTCCGTCGACAGAACTATCCCCTGATGTCGCCAAGCTCCCCTCGTCAACAGAAACTCATCTGGATGTTTCAGGGCAAAAAATACAAGACACTAGAGTGGATGGAGGGGAAGGCACGAAAGGAGCAGGTTGTTCAGTGGTTCCACTTCTACTGGCTAAGCAAAAACATTGGAGGGGGAGGGATGGGGACAAAGCTAGCACACACACCCCCCAGCCTCCTTCCTCCCCTCTCCCCGTCCCCCCCTCCACCCCTTCTCCCCTTTCCACGAGTCAGGGCATCCCTCTACATTCACCCTAACGCTTCAGGGCAGAATTTCACTGACATTCTGAAATTTCAAGGCAAAACGCGTGAATCATCCTGACGTCACAGGTTAAATTTCAGCGTCATTCTGAAATTCCAGGGCAAACTTAAAACACCATCCTGAAATCAGGGTAATCATGATGTTTTGCCCTGATATCGTGGGCCCTGAATTGTACTTCGAGCGCTAATTCCGGCTATCAGGTCAGATTTCGCATAGCAATAATGAGAGTAGGTACCCGCTAAAATGCTTATGAATCAGAGTACACTCTGAGAAAAAGGCTGAAAATTCAGACAAGGCTTAAAATACTTTTATGAATATTCAGAGTTCACAGCAAAAAAAACTCTGAACTTTCAGAGTTCACTAAGAAAAAAAGCTGAAATTTCAGAGTTTTTTTGGCAAATCAGAGAAATTTCTCTGATCTCTGGGGGCCTGGATCAGAAGTTGATCGTAGCCAAGATCACCTCAGGAAGGTTCGCACACTACTGACTTAGTGGTGGTGGGCCCTTGATCTCAATAGAAGAGTGAATGTAAAATGCTTGAGATAGTTATAATATGCAAATATAGAAAGCATAAATATGAGTACAGGGAATTCAAATCGTCCTAGCTAGCCATGTACTCTAAGGGGTACATGTCAAACTTATATGCTATAGTCTCTGTAGGCTGTAGTGGGGTTGACAATATAGGGTACAACACTTTTAGGTTTTCCTACTTCTACCCACCTGTTTCCTAGTGCATTCATTCCTCGTTCTTTCACATGGTATAGAGCAGGTTCCCTAGTGGGAACGTTTCCTAGGGCCCACCGAAAATCGATATTTTTTTTCCTGCCCGGAGTGCGCTTCGCCCCTGCCCGAGTCGCGCCCCGTGTGCCTGCCCTCCCGTCGCGTCCCCTGCCCTTAGCGGCCCGTCGCGCTCCCTTACGGCCCCGTAGCGGCCCCTCTCACGGCCCCTCACGGCCCCTCTCACGGCCCTCCGCGGCCCCTTCAGGCCCCTCGCGGCCCCTTCGTGGCCCCTCGCGGCCCCTTCGCGGCCCCGTCGCTGCCCTTCGCGGCCCCGTCGCCGCCCTTCGCGGCCCCGTCGCCGCCCTTCGAGGCCCCTGCCCGAGTCGCGCCCCGTGTGCCTGCCCTCCCGTCGCGTCCCCTGCCCTTAGCGGCCCGTCGCGCTCCCTTACGGCCCCGTAGCGGCCCCTCTCACGGCCCCTCACGGCCCCTCTCACGGCCCTCCGCGGCCCCTTCAGG